TCCATCAAAATATGTGGGCTTTGAAAAAAATGTAAAGGTACCGATCGAATTTTGGGTGAAATGGCAGAATTTATTAGGTCGAAAGTTGGAATTTAACAATAAATTTTGTCAATTCACCCAATTTTGAATTTTTTTCGAAAACCCACATTGTTGATGCAAAATGTGGGATTTTAACAACAATTTTCACCCATGGTTGGGTTATTTGAGGAAATTTCAAACCTATTTTGCTTAATTTCACAAAACAGCAAGCTTCAGGAAAGAAGCTCCGCGCATCATGCCTCGGCCAGTGTCTTCGCCGCCTCCACTCGTCGATCTTCATAAGGGCGACTGGCTAGGTACATAGTAGATTCGTGATTCAGTTGTATCTGCACAGATCTAACGCTTGCGCTTCCTCTTAGATGTTATGGACCGCGACGGCATCTGGAGCGTGGCGCGCGTACTGAGCGTCCCGTCGCCCGAAGAGCTGGAGATCACGTACGACGGGTGGCCCTCTGACTATGACGAAGTCGTGGAAGTGGACAGTGACCGCGTAGCACCATACCACACGTTCACATGGGTCGTCAAGTGCTGGATCAAGCACCTAAACTGGCCTATGTGGCCAGGCGTGGTCACTGTTCGGTCCCTTGGCACCGAGGCAGGGATGAGGAACTTAAACAAGGAGAACCGCCTGCAGTTGGACTTCATGGACAGCAGTAGCTTCACCAGAAGAGCGCGCTGTTGGCTGTTAAAGGGCCACGTCAAACCTTTTGACGAGAAACACGACAAGAGACGACAGGGCTCCAATTGAAATCAGTTTGAACAAGCCTACGGGTTTGTGCTGCAGTCTAGTGCCGACGATGCTCTGCCGAAATTTGTCCCCAGGGGTACTTTACCCTTAAAGCACAAGGAGGCGCCTGTGGAATCCGTAGAGGCGAAGCGGAAAGAATTGGGAGATGAAGAATGGTTTGCACGTTTTGCGAAGAATCAAGAGCTTCACTACCAAACGCACCAGTACATTACACTCGACGGCGATGGAGATGAAACCGCTAGTGTTGAGTCAGTGGATGTAGAAGATCTGCACCTGGAAACTACCGCAACAAAGTTTGAGCAGAAGACGGTAAATCGAAAGGTTGCAAAGCCGAAAAAGGAGAACCAGACAACAACCTCAAAACAGCAGACGAAAACGAGTGCGAGGAAGAGAACGCCAAGGGTCGAGGAAGGAAAAATGACAGAGAATTCGAACAGGTCGAAGCTGTCCACAGCGGTGAAACTAGAGGAGAACTCTTCTGTTTCGAGTGAAGAAGAAGGAGAGACGACAGAGAAGCCGAAGAGACCAAAGTTATCCACAAGGGTGGGGCAGAAGAAAACGAAGGGGAAGAGAACCAAGCTAAAAACGGTGAAACGAGCAAAAGCTCTACCTATCAGCAGCAACCGACGCCTTCTATGTGTAAAAAAGTAGTTTAGATTGCGCTTGTTGTTAGTTGTTTTAACCTGGATCGAAGTTTGGAACAAACACGGGGAAGCTCAGGATTCAATATGAATGCCATCCAACGGCACGGTTCATTTGGGTTGTTCGGAACCAAATAAACGGGGTCAAATTTTGGGTCGTAATAAAATAAGCTTGGATGGCATTCAGACGAAAAAAAAACCCATTAACATTTTAATGGCTTTTTTTCGTCTAAATGGCATCCCAGCCAATCAGATCTCTCATGTCCCATAACAACGGACAGAAAACAAATAATACTAGAAGTATTAATAATAGTAATTTAACACCGGAAAATAAATACGTAAACTAGATAAACAGTGGTTAGGTAGTACTATAGTAGTTTTATACCGATTGTACTAAAAGGAACTGGATGAAGCCTACCGATAATGCACCTATTAACATAGATAAAAATGAAATAACGACATCGCCACCTCTTACAAGCACCGAGATTTTATGACGGCTTCGGACAAACCCGCACGGGGTCTGTCATATCCTGTGGCCCATCAACACCACAGTATTTTTGAAATTCATCTGCACCGGGAGTATTGAGGATAGAAACGGTAGTACAGACCTGCTTTTAGAGAAATAGATTTGGTATGGTGTTTGCTTAGTGTGTGGGTGCACGCCAATCACACGATCTTAAATATTAAAAATAAAGTTTAGCTATCCCAGCCTACGCGTACCTCTCGTTGTTAGTGTGATCAATTCTACGCGTGCTAAATTGTAGTGGCGCGCAAAAGTAGCGAAGAAGCGATGCAGAGACGAATGGCATCGGTATTACAGGCATCTACGACGTGAAAGCAGTATGCGTGCTTTGGTTGAAGACGCTGCCAGAGCCCCTAAAAACTATGAATTATGTTAACAATAAACTAATAAAAAACATACCTTCATCTCCATAAAACCTTACATGTTTTCTGTTATCTCCCAGATGAGAGCAGAATTACTATATACTGTGTACACAACTTCTTCACTTCACTTTTCGCTTTTTATCTCACCAACGAACTTAAGCGTGGATTGACGAGCCGCTCGTCACGGGCGAGCTATTTTTGGATTTAGTCAATGGAAAGTGCTGCATCATCAGAATGGTATGGGCACAGCAGCCATTCTACCAGACAAACTTTATAAATTAGATCGGTATGATATCCATTTCCCGTTTTCATTTGATTGGCAATAATCCTAGCACACTACCAGTA